AAGGTCCATGACTCTTTCTGTGTGTCTGTGCAGTCTTTTAGGTTTAAAACCACACCCTGACAACATTCAAAAAGAATGAAGGTCGACGAGAGCACCAGATGAAGCCTTCAAATAGTTCAGTTTATTAAATAACCTTACTGGAGAGTAGTGTATATACTTAAAGCCATTTAAAACATGGAACAGCCATCTTGCATGTATCACTGTGTCAACCTGTTCTTTTATAGACATACTGATCTGTGACATTAGATTTGGGTATTGACGTGTGACCTGATCTGGGGTTCGGCTGTTTGCTGTGAGCATCACTTCAATAGAAATGTATTATTTTCAAAATCTCATCTTGTAATGCATTGATAAATAATGGCGTAGCTTTAAATAACTTTAACCAAAAAAAGAACAAAGACAAATTGCAATCCTCTAAATTAACGGTGGGGGCAGTAAACAAGAGCTAGGCGACTTCAAACACATCCTGGTGACGCATCATATCCGGCCCTTTGCGTGACGCCGTATCCGGGCAACTTTAAGCTAACATTGAAAATTAAAAATGCACATCTTGTAGCTTATCCGACATGTTCGTCTCATTTCTTCGATGTAACGAACAGTAACATGAAGTGTTGCGCCGACTTCACTCTGCTCGTCATCTCTTCCTCGCCAAGCATTTAGCTCGATATGGCAGGACCAGTTCATTGTTAGCTTAGCCATGCTGTCACTCCGCTTTCACTTGTCTTCTGGGTTGCGGCTTGCTTGCGACAGGGACCACGGCTACTAGCTAGCTTGGTAGCTAGCTAGCTGAGCATTTTCTCCATTATTAACGTTGTTTTGTTTTCTAGATCTTGTTTAAACATATTTTCCGCACATTTCGTTTTTCTGCCACATTCCGCGTAAAAGCAGCGCAGCAGAAACTGCGCCTAACCGGGTTTGACACGTTAAATTAGCCGTTAGCTCAGTTGGATAGATAGCCAGCCGGCTAACTTTGGGAAAACGTCCCTTTGCTGCGCAAGTTAAGTAGTAGACTTTGTTTTGACACAGACAGGGGACGTTGAGCCCATCGACACAAGAGGGCCAGTCGCGGTCTGTGGAAGCCTTTCACCGCTCAAGAGTTTTGCTGTTTGGTTATCTGCCACGATGGCTTCTTCCTCTGGAAACGACGACGACCTCACAATCCCCAGAGCAGCTATCAACAAGATGATCAAAGAAACTCTCCCTAATGTTCGAGTGGCCAACGACGCCAGGGAGCTGGTGGTGAACTGCTGCACAGAGTTCATACACCTCATATCCTCAGAAGCCAATGAAATATGCAACAAGTCCGACAAGAAGACCATATCTCCTGAGCATGTCATCAATGGTGAGTCCTGCCCCACGTTTGCTCAGTGTTTACGCCACTAATCCTACAGGAGGGGGGTGTGTCCACTTCTCAGCCACAGACTCTTAATGTCACTTTCACCTCTTGCTTTCACACCACAGCCCTCGAGAGTCTTGGTTTTGCATCGTACATCACCGAGGTGAAAGACGTCCTGCAGGAGTGTAAGACTGTGGCTCTGAAGAGGAGGAAGGCCAGCTCCCGACTGGAGAACCTGGGCATCCCAGAGGAAGAGCTGCTCAGACAACAGCAGGAGCTGTTTGCCAAGGTATGACCAACAAATCCGCCATTCTTCATGTGCTGAGGAGGAGAAACACAATGAAGCATGGCGAAATTACAGCATCTACCACTGAAAGGTGCATTTAGTAAAAAAA